CCGTACAGTTGTACTGGGGTGTCATATGGACTCAGGTGGAAGTTGCAGTGCAGCTGGTGTGCGTACTGGAAGTGTAGCTGGTTACTCATTTGCAACGTGTCTCGTAAAATCTGTTCGAGTTTTAGCCTAATACGTGGTCCGGTATCTGCGGGAAGCTGGATCTCTGTCAGACTGATCACAGTCACGGCGATTGTTGACCTCTCTGCGTGCATTGACACGATCACTCTGCAAAGGTCGTTGACCTCGAAACACCCAAAACCCGAATATAGACAAGTGGTATTGTCTGTCGTCGCCTGGTCACGTTCAGCTGCCTCCTCTAAACCGTGTATTGGTAGTGACGCTACTTTGTACGTCCTCATGATCTTGGCAAAGATTCTGTGGAACAGCTCATCTGGTACGGAAACATCTTTGAACACGAAGCATAAGGTTTTAGAGACAAAGAGATTGCTTTGTTGGAGGTAACTGACCTTCTCTGTTATACCGTCAACGTTTTGTAGCTCCATAAGTTTGCTCGGAATGGTGTACGTTTCACTGAACTGTGCATTTTCTGTAGTGGTTCCCGACATCAGTATCCTTACTATCAGCCCGAACTTTTCCATCAGGGCCAGGAGATGGGACTTATGGGGACAAAACCTTTGGTTCTTTTCCAGGCTGAGAAGACCATCGATCAACTCGTGGGTCAACTCGCCCTTTGTCGTACACAGCTCTAAATCTCGAGTGAGCAGGAGGTCATCTGTTGGGAGAAACTGGTCGTCGGTTATGAAGATGCTGAAAAAATCAGCAAGCCACTGAGGATCGTTGATGATGAAGTCAAACTCCCGAAAATAAATCACAGACCTTGTACAATGAAGGTACCTACACAAAATAAATAAAGGTATTATACATAACTTGTATTTAGTTACACGACCCAATGGATTGAAAAAATATATAAATAAATTCACAGGTCTAACGGATGTTAAGATAGTTTTGAAATCTACATTCAATTTCAAATGGTGTTATTAGCAACAAAACATTGTATCACATCCACCTTCGATATTTCACAATCATACTGAATTGATATTTTTGTTTCAATTCAATTATTTATATTCAAGAATGACAAACAATAAATGAATGGATAAAATAGTTTCCAGTTGTTTTTGAATGTATTGTATTGTGTCAACTGGAACAATCCACAGTGAAATGTGTAGTTTTATAAAATAAATATACGATACTGCCGAGTAATGACTTTTCTGTTAATAAAGCTTCTGTTGACAGTTTGATATTTCTGAGTTGTCATTGTAACAGAGGTATCTGAAGCAGGTGGATTTGGGGAAAATAGGATACAAGCATTGTTAGCACTGTATCTCATGCCCTTGTCTGTCATAATTGTCGTTATAGTCAGTTTAAATAACTCGATTAGTCCTTAAAAGAGCATTTTAGATAAGGACACAAATACAATAGAATTTAGTAAAATAGATATTGAAATCTGAAAAAATTGTCCATTTTTATATACCTTCCCTAGTTTCGATATGTGTCTGTTTTCTTGTTCTCAAAATGGTTAACAATGCACGCTGTATTATTCCTTAAAATATACACGAACACTTTTATTAAAACTGTCACAACATTTAAATCATGTGGAAAAAGAATTTGGAGCCACCTTCAATGCTTCTGATATGTTCGTTTTTCTTCGTACAAAAATACGAATACGAATTGAAAAACACCAAACACATAATTGCTCATTAAATGATGATACCAATACTTAGTTAATCATTACGATATATGTTTACGTAACACCTTTGAAGACATACTCACTCTAGTGCCAGTTTCATTTCCTCCTCGTCCGTTAAAGGGGCTACAGACTTTTTGTTTACTTCAATAACCATCGCCAAAGTGAGCATCCTGGTTCCTTCTTCTCTGGCTTTAAGTAAGTCCATTTCCAGCTTTAACCATCTGGTCGGGAGCTCTCTGTCCCACTGATCTTGATGATTAGCTGCGTCTGTAATTAAACCTCGCAGTTTTTTCAGTTCTGTGTCGTCCTTTCCAAGGCTGTTATCGGCTGTACAGAACCTGACGAATTTGTGAGCTGAAAGTTCGGGGAATTTTGCAATGCTTGACCTTATTGTCTTTACCAGTTGGGCGTAATCCTGGAATGGTAATAAATACAATATCTTACACTTTACTTTTTTGTATTAAAAACCAAAGCATATGAGTTTGTCAAGGTAGAAAAACACTTAAGGACAATTAATTTGTATCAGAGCAGCATACAATGTGTACAAAAATACATGTTTATTTTTATCTTAGCAAAAATATATGTATATAATTAAATGAATTAGCGCTAACATTCGTTTGTTATTATTTTTTTGTGATAATATTGAGAATGTGTTCAACACAAAATTGATATTTATCATATTTACCTTAGTCGTTCTCTTAAACTCATCCAGGAAGGTACCGACGAAAATAAGTGGAGGATCATGTGGCTTCAATTTTGGCGCATTGAGTTCAACTGACGAAAATGTGCCAATCAATCGGATCCATTTCTTTAATCTATCTGGACTCAGAAAGAGTTCATGATTATTAAATAGCAAAGGTGTCTATCGGAAATACGGATACATATGTAGTGGTTTTTTATTGAAACATATACCATTCAACTCTATAGGCAAAGAGTTGAAAACTATTGTATACACCTCCAACTTAAATACCTCATATGTGTTATTTCCGACCAGAATAATTTCTTTAGTTCGAAGGAGGGTCTAAAAATAAGTTTAATTTCAACGTTTGTTTGTTTGTTATAGGTACATAAGGAGAGTGGGAATGCATCCCATTTATGTTAAGAACTTGAAAATGTAATAAATGACTGTTTAATTTCAAATTACATAATGCGTTAAGTATCTTTTACGGAATAAAAGCTACGGCTCGGAAAAGATTATCAATGAGAATTGTCAGAACAGCATATTGCAGGTTAAGAATCCACAGAATTTAAAGAGTACCTGGGCTGGAACGGAGTGTTCTAGGTGTCAAAGAAATCGATTGCATGGGTCTCTGGTTGAATTGCGTCGAAATATTTTCCCCATAGATAGGAACTATATTAAATAAGCATGTGTTAACTAACAGTTAACGCTTAAGTTGCATGCTCGTGATTATATATACATACTGACACGCAAAAGAAACACAACCTCCAAATTTCGGTATCTATTTTTAATATTTCATCAAAAGTTCCGTTTATGTAACATAGACAATTAAAGATACACGTCTATGCTATTGGATTATTCAGTTAATTTAGCGCTAGCGAAAATCACTTTGGCAAGAAAACAGAAAAGACTGAACTAAACAACTATGGTCATTTAGGGCCATAGTGATTTTGTTTTTTAAACAGACATGATGCGAGTAGCGTAGATAAAATCAGGTAAAAATGAATATGTTTAAAAGCATTAGCACGGTATGTGTACATAATTAAAATATTAAAGGGTTTAAAGTAATAAAAGTTGAAGAGGTAATGAAAAAGATAATATAACATGTGATGTGTAGATACCGTCAATTATCATAAAGTAGAGATCATAAAAGTAAATCTGATTAACATATGTATATCAATAAATCAAAAAAAAAACTTTTCTGTCTCAGAAATGATTTTCCCGTTTGATGCGTTATGTATACAAATAAAAGCTAATGTGTGGTTACAGTGTTATTTGCTTGATTAAGAAATCTCTCCTGTGGGATGACGTTTGACAAACGTTGGTTCATATGTTTATTTCAGTATATTACCCATGATGCGTTTGTTTTTGGTAACATATTGTTTTTTGCAAGTTACATGTAGCTCCTACTGCCATGTAGAATAATATAAGATACTAATATATTCATGTTGATCTATATCTGATTAATTTATTAAGTAAATATTCGTGCACAGCTAGTTTCAAACACAGCCTAACCCGTAAAATGTAAACAAAATAAGCATTGTAGCATAGCCCTATCAAGGATATACTGTAACTTCCTGTAGCAAAGGAACTCAAATTGATTATAATCTTAGACTGGCTTTTCATCAGTTCCATCCCTGGAATCAGAGTTTCTTTTTTTCACGCCAAATCTATATTCTTACTGGAGCAATTGCAATGTCCATAGAACACCGTAGTCTAATTTCTATCTGTACTCTTCTTCCCCAAAAACATAGAAATGGGTTGCAAAAGGATTGTAACCTCGCTTTCTGTACTTAGCTATTTTTCATTGACGCTTGTCAATCAGAACACGCTTAGATGATCATCATGGCCAAGGGTCAGGCATTTGCTCCTATTAGATTTTTCTCCTTTTCTCTGATTTCATCTGCTATACCCGGAGGTGTTAAGGCCTCGTTTCTTGATGTTGATAAGATACTAGTAAAATATTTTTTTTATAAACGGGAAAACAAGTCGATTGACATTTATTTGTTATTTGCAAGATGAATGGTGTTAAGGTATCTTTGAACTTTTGCATATGCATATGCAACTCACCAACCAAAGCTAATCATTACAGCAAATCATTCAACATTGTTATTATATCAAACTAACGAAACAAAATCAACACTTATCCTTCAATTTTTCAAGGACACCGCTTCATTACCTTACCGTGTGATTCATCGCAATAATGTTCAAATAAGATGTATGATTAAAGTATGATTACAATGTACACTACAAAATATTATCATTTATATATACAATACAAAAGATATACATTTTCATTCCACACCCTAACAATCTAAAAAATGTATCCATCTTTTTACTGTACCCTCACTGTTCTACATTTTCATCAATATAAACAAATAGAATTCAGAGATTCTTTTTTGTCCTTGTTACCACCTTTTGTTAAATATTATGTTGTGTATTTATATCTACAAAACAGTTTTTATTTATAGTCTTCGTTTCTCTCTCCACCGATGCTTTAAAGGCTGGCCTCGTTTCTTGATGTTGATAAGATACTAGTAAAATATTTTTTTTATAAACGGGAAAACAAGTCAATTGACATTTATTTGTTATTTGCAAGATGAATGGTGTTAAGGTATCTTTGAACTTTTGCATATGCATTGAAAGGAGGAAAATTGGATCGTTCATTTACTTACCAGTTTCCAACTTGTCTTTGAGAAAGTCTGTCAGCCTGAAGACTAGAAGGTATACACCATGTGATGATATGAACACATTGTGTGAAGCTTGAAATGACGTGTGTCCACCCATATCCCACAGAGATAGAAACGCTCCATCAGCTTTGGTCTCAAATGAAGCAAAGTTGACTTCCAACGATTCGCGGTATGTTTTATCTGCGTCTGCTGCAGGGTTTTCATACAAAGGTAATCCGAATGAGCCGTCTTGGGACCCTATAATAGCATACAATGAAACATGAAAACAAGTCTCAATGAAGATCGTTTTTTATTTGTTTACTTGGTTAAGTTATATGTAATATATTTTGTACGACATAAAGAAACATTTCCATTGTGAAGTCAGTTAAAATGGAATCAATATAAACTACAGGATGCATAATGTATGTGTCATTGCTTACATACTGTTTTATCCATTGACTTTATGTAAAGTATCTGTAAATTACCTGCTTGCAAACCAGCTTTTCTTTCTAATGTTTCCATGTTCATCAATGCACCCATACGTGTTTGAATCACGCTCGTGGGCGATTGGTCAGTATTTAACCCCCATTCTTTGGATTTCCAGTCAATTAAGAACCAAGAAGGATGAGAAACAGCTCCCACAGTTGGCTTACGCAACTTTATGTCGACATCTTCGTTCTTGACCCGGCCACAGAGTGTCGTCTTTCCGGCACCCTCTCGACCGGTGAAGACTACGCGTATGTGCCGGTATCTCTCCTTTAATCCCTTAAACAACGCTACGTAATTTATATACGCATGTGTATCTGTAAAGGAAAATGTTAAGATATTTACACATATTCGATTAATAAAACGAAGTTTTAAAAAGACAAGAACAATCAAATAAAAACGTTTCAATGTCGAAGAATTTAGATACATAACCCTAACATAGGTTCCAAAGGGAAAATCTCTTTCTGCACCGAATGCAATTTTCGTCTTTAGGTCTACCGTCAAATATATGAGCTTACATAATAATAAATTATGTCATATATGTTCCATGATGATAACCAGTCTTCATTTATGGTAAAACCGGATATACCGAAGACTGAAATCTGGTCATGGCGGTAACTTAACAGTGTGAATGAAACGTAGATTGAAACCTCTTAAATGGAAACTGACGGCTGTTCAAGTTTTCTGTTTATCTGTCTACATATTCACGAAACTTAGAACAAGTGTTGGAAAAGAGAACCAAATATGTAACTAAGATTGTCAGGAATGCTACTACTGGGGAACTATACAAAAAAGTATGTTTGAATTTTTGTTATGGCCAAATCTAACAAAAATGTATTCGACCAAAACTTTCTAATATATTTCAATTACATTTTTCGAATTTTAACAGTTATAATTGTAGACGCAAGTAATTCTGGATTATTATATACACTGATCAATGAGAGGTGTATGTGTTTGGTACCGTTCTTGCAAATATATCCCTTCCTCTGATAAAAATATGTATATAGCAAATCATAAACAGACAACCTTACCAGATGGAACCCCCATGTTCGCCATCAATATTTATTAGGTATATAAACACACTTTCTTCAGAACCATAACATCACCTACTAACATGTGCATATGACTATGCAAAATGATTTGTTGAACTAACCAACTAATAGTCTAGAAAATGTGTACTATCTAAAACAAGCTATATTATGAATCTCTTGATATCAAGAAACCTATGAATAGACTTTGTATTATACAGAGCCATTTATCAACTTTCATTACATGACGTCTAAAGTTCAAACAATTTAGCACTGAAACAAACATCGATTGGTGTGATATCGTGATGACTATGTTAAAGTCATCACGATAAAAATCACATAATAATTGAGTCTTTTGCAATATAATTAGATCTAGAAACTAAAACCATATATACAATACCCTGCCACTTAACGTGTTAATTGATGCACATACGTACTTAGAATTATTCTATGTTATCTACATTTTTGAAATATCTGATACACGTTCAAGAGCATGAGGAATCTTTATCGTCTTAAATGCTTTGTTTTTATCTCCATGCAATATATTATCACGTGATGATTATTGCATTATACGCAAACGCTTATAACGGTAGAAGCTTATTGAATTATTACTAGGTCATGAAAGTTGTGTCTTTTTCAGATGCAATGATTTAAGTTTAAATAAACAAGTAAAATATGTATGATTGCCAAATGACATTGAAAGCATGAACTTGAACATGAGATGCACACAAGCATTTGTAATGGAATCAAAGTTGTTAGTTCTCGACTGTTATATCCGGTAATAACCAGGAGGATTTGAAACACATAATCAATATCACTTTCGATATCACCCACGTCACTATTTATTACATTCATATTCATAATTTGTATAATATGTATTTAAAAACTGTTTACTTTTAAAAACAGAAGACTATATTTTTTTCAGACTGCTCCGGGAGGTCACTGAAATTTTAGAGTTAATGCTCCATTTGAACCATAGGTTTTTCTTTATCTTTCTGAGCAGGATTCTGTCATCAATATGATAATGTCGAATTTTTGGTGTTAACTCACTTGTATGCATTTGTATATAATATTATGTATTTTTCTAGAACTATTTTTGTGAGTATTTAGCTTTACAATTAATTCATATCTATATATATATAAGTTTAGATAAGATATTGTATATCTAAATTAACGGCATAAATGACAACAAATGTCAATTATTCGCATTGATTTTCTTATTTTGCTGTACTTTGAAATAATCGAAGATCTGGATTTTTTCTGATTATGCAAGCATTGAATACAGTTTTATGAAGAGTGTGTCTAGTTTAGGTTATGTCTTTGTTGCAACAATTACGAGATTTATAAATGATATTTCCATTCGGATGTTAACATAGAAACGGTAATTATTCGATGTTTTGATACTATTTATTATATGACTGTACATTTCATGTTGCATTCTTCAAATCCGTATACAATGGTAAATTGAAAAAATAATATGTTTTTTTGCAGGTTTGGAATTTCTTAACTGATTATCACTGAACCACAAAACTATCCACATAGTAACATATTTTGCATGTCGATGTCACAATTTTCATAATTTATTAATGTATCGTTTTCCCTCACCTATATCACTTTGAATATATAAAATAACACACTCCTATGTAAATGCTATTGCATCAAATTTAAAGGCTAATCTAGGTGAAAGCTTTTATGGGACAAGGTTGTGACTTCCTTTCCAAATGCAAATGTTTTATTAAATTTAACAAGCAAGTAAATCGTGTATACATGTAATAGCCAAATAGGAAAACCATTACAAATTTGGACATATAGGTCAGATTGTATATACTTATATTCATTACGGAACAAAAGATAGTATTTACTGTTGTTATATCCAGTTATAAAAGGGGAGATGTAAACGAACATGATCAGTATTGTAAGGACCACCATACACATTAATTAAACTAGTCGTATAAAAAATCATTGAAAATGATACGCCTCGTTTCATTTTAAAGAATTGTTTCAAATTGGGAAGATTCATGTATTCATGACACATTACGAATCATTGCGGATATTATAGAGCTACAACAACAGAACCTTAGAGTGGAACAATACACACCGGTCCTGCCGGACTGGCACATAATATCCTCTGACATATTATTGTATCTAAATTTATGAAAATATGAGGGGAAATGTAGGGAAAAACTATATCTGCACAGCATTATTCAGTAAATTTGAAAAGTACACCTGTGGTATGATGAAAGGAGAAACATGCTGTACTTGACTAACTTCAGCTGAACGTATTTATATATTTTAGATATATAAAGAGGATATTTAACAGTGTCTTCAGTAATTCCAAACATATTTTACGAGTGTGGCTAATATTTTAATATCTTTCACGAATGCGCAGCGAAATATAGTCCTCTCTGTAAAAAAAGAAAAAAAGAAAAATCAAATTATTATCATTATTTAATAATTTAGAAAAAGTTCCGTCATATCAACTCAGATCACTACGCGTTGTTGATAAGCGCCAACTCCTCAACGGTGGGGACTGGGGAAAATGCAGAGTTGTTTTTCACCACTGATCTTGATGATAAAATACCAACACCACCTAACAGTTATGTAAGTTATACTTATAACCCGGTTCTTCTAAACTTCCTGTCAATCGCTCATCCTATCTCGAGACTTGGAGACGCTGAATTGATGACCTGCATAGTCTGCTGGCTTTCATGAAAATGAAAATTAACTGTGGAATTAAACTTTAAGTTTCCCCTTAAAGAATAATTCCCTCTTGATAGGTAAAAGATGATTATTCAGCGCAGTAGAATGGGCTGATGTCTCAGAAGGATTTTCTCGAGGTCTGCGTAGCGTCAAGCTAACCAGGCTTTTACCAGGTGTAATATCTCCCATGGTAGTTTGTTATCGGTGTTTTAATTGGTCAAATCAGAAAAGTGATATCAAAGTCGAACACAATCATTGTTAAATCAAACTAATAATCGAGTCAACATAAGTTAAGTCAACAGATTTGAACTGAAAACAACAAGCTGTGTTTCAATATATTCAGGTTTTATCAAAGATAAAGGTTTCATAATTCCTTGAGCATACTTTATTATTTAGTTGTACTAGATAAAAACCAAAAGTCATTTTAAATGTTGGATATTTTGTTACTTTTCAAAACCCTGAGTACATTTTGTACTTATATTTATTTTAGAAATGCACGTACACATAGAAATTGTGGATACTAAATGATACGTTTATTCTTTAAGAGAATGGGATTTCACAATACTCACTGTCATGAAATCATCGTAAACGTAAACATTTCACTTATTCACATCTTCTGAAGTTTGTTAATGTCATGAATGTCATAACGTAGCATTTTTACGTATCCCCTTACATATCTCACTTTCAATAATATCTCAATTCTACATGAGATGTACTAAACTATCAATATGATAATTTCCCCAATCATTGAGCAATATGATTGCTTATGATGTGGACAAGATATGAATGATGTAACGGTTTTCAGTCATTTCAATATGTAAGTATAGTTCCTATGGTTGCAAAACGAAATTATATGTACTTATTTGAAAAGATGACGTCAGTTAGTTAATACAAACATTTGGAATAAGAAAGCTAAGTTGTTACTTACGACCTGTAGTTAGATCCATTCATAGCCAGGCAGATATGAAAAACAACAGACAAAAACTCATCATTATTACCTGATTAATCACCTTAGGTATTGTTAAACGCTTCAATATCCAACAAAACTATAACACACCAATTGTTTAATCAAACTAATAATCGAACTTTAATCAATAGAGTTTTGATTAAAAACGACAACCCTCGTTTCAATATAATCAGGTTTTACCAAAGATAAAGGGTTCATAATTCCTTGAGCATACCTTATGATTTCGTTGTACTAGACAAAAACTAAAAGTCATTTTAACTATGGGATATTTTGTTACTTTTCAAAACCCTGTGTACATTTTGTTTTTATATTTATCGTAGAAATGCACGTACACATAGATATTGTGGATACTAAGTGATACGATTATTCTTTAATAGATTGGGATTTCACAATACTCACTGTCACGAAATCATCGTAAACGTCTACATTTCACTTCTTCACATCTTCTTAAGTTTGTTGATGTCATAAATGGCATAACGTAGCATTTTTACGTATCCCCTTACATATCACACTTTCAAACATTCTCACTTCTACATGAGATGTACTAAAATGTCAATATGATTGATTTTCCCTATCATTGAGCAAGATGATTGCTTATGATGTGGACAAGATATGAATGATGTAACCGTTTTCAGTAATTTCAATATGTAAGTATAGTTCCTATGATTGCAAAACGAAATTGTATGTACTTATTTCAAAAGAAGACGTCAAGTAGTTAACACAAACAGTTGGTATAAAATGCACGGTTTTTACTTACGTTCTGTAGTTAGATCCATTTATAGCCAGGCAGATATGAAAAACAACAAACAAAAACTCATCATTATAACCTGATTAATCACCTTAGGTATTGTTAAACGCTCCAATATCCAACAAAATCTTGAACACCCCAGTTGTTAAATCAAACTAATAGTCAAACTTTAATCAATAGGGTTTTAATTGAAGACGACAAGCCTGGTTTCAAATAATCAGGTTTTATCAAAAATAAAGGGTTCAAAATTCCTTGAGCATACCTTATTATTTAGTTTCACTAGATAAAAACTAAAATTCATTTTAACTATTGGATATTTTATTACTTTTCAAAACCCTGTGTACATTTTGTAGTTATATTTATCTTAGAAATGCACGTACACATAGAGATTGTGGATACTAAATGATACGTTTATTCTTTAATAGAATGGGATTTCACAATACTCACTGTCATGAAATCATCGTAAACGTCTACATTTCACTTCTTCACATCTTCTTAAGTTTGTTAATGTCATAAATGTCATAACGTAGCATTTTTACGTATCCCATTACATATCACACTTTCAATATTATCTCAATTCTACATGAGTTGTACTAAAATGTCAATATGATTGATTTTCCCAATCATTGAGTTGAGCAAGATGATTGCTTATGATGTGGACAAGATATGAATGATGTAACCGTTTTCAGTTATTTCAATATGTAAGAATAGTTCCTATGGTTTTCAAAATAAATTAAATGTACTTATTTGTAAAGAAGACGTCAAGTAGTTAACACAACATTTGGTATAAAATGCACGGTTTTTACTTACGTTCTGTAGTTAGATCCATTCGTAGTCAGGCAGATATGAAAAACAACAAACAAAAACTCATCATTATTACCCGATTATTCACCTTAGGTATTGTTAAACGCTCCAGTATCCAACAAAACCTATAACACACCAATTGTTTAATCAAACTAATAATCGAACTTTAATCAATAGAGTCTTAATTAAAAACGACAACCCTCGTTTCAATATAATCAGGTTTTATCAAAGATAAAGGGTTCATAATTCCTTGAGCATACCTTATTATTTCGTTATACGAGACAAAAACTAAAATTCATTTTAACTATTGGATATGTTGTTACTTTTCAAAACCCTGTGTACATTTTGTTTTTATATTTATCTTAGAAACGCACGTACACATAGAGATTGTGGATACTAAATGATACGATTATTCTTTAAGAGAATGGGATTTCACAATACTCACTGTCACGAAATCATTGTAAAAACGTAAACATTTCACTTCTTTACATCTTCTGAGAATTAAACTTTGGCGAAAATGTCCCTAGTATAAACTAGTTACAGTGTATATGTTTTTCATTATAGGCTTAGATGAACGTTACTTAGAATACCATATACAGTCAATATCTATCATTTTCCACTGTTTTTCTCGACTAATTATACTTAACTAAATATTTATAGCATGAGGGACTCGGACAGGAAGAATGAATGTATATAACTTATTTCATATATTACATAGATGTACAATGTACATGGATGAATGAAAGACCGCTTGTAATATGGCACTTAATTGTAAAAATAACCTTACCCCATGGCCCCAGCCGGCAGTCTTATTATATAATTTGATTCGGTAATAAAATTGATGTTTATGTATATAAAGATAATTATCGTCGTTTGCATACTATTCAACAGGTTTAAGTCATTAAAAGGATAATGTCAACATTTTGTCTATCTGTCAGTTGTATGGACCTAAAATGAAATATTTAAACACCCCACTGGGATAAAACATGCTGATCATATTAGTTCAGTCGTACATTCCAGCTTAAATTGGTTAGTTTATATTGCAAATAAGGACATACTGATGCTGCAACATATTGTTTATATTAATATCCAAACATTGATATATCATTAGTTCTGCTGATACCTTTCGTTTTTGAGGTTATCTAACGGTTGTTACCGATAACAGTGATATACCAACTGTTATTACCTTTTGGGAAGAAGAATGTAACACACACAAAGATGATTACACCTTTAAAATTAAGTATTAGATTCAGTATGCCAAAAATAAACTACACTGCATCATAAGTTTGCAATAACAGTGAAAATGAAAATAAATGTAATATTTCTTTTATATTTTGAGGATTTGTTACTACCTATCTGTGCGCGTTTTGTTTTATTTACTAAACCTGTATACATTTTAGAGATACGGCGTCACGAGTTTATTCTTGAATACTGTGAAATGTCGTTGAACTGCCGTAAAACCATTTAAATATAGAAATTTCACTTCAGCATATCGTATTTACTTTGCAATATAATGTAATGTGTAATATCAATCTGTTCCAAACGCTAATCTAAATTGATGTTTATAATATAACATACTGTGAATGATGTCTCTGTTTCGTATGAAATGAAATGTAAGTAGTTACATATGTGTAGTTTCCCAATAAAATTTAAACAGGTGGAGCAGGAGGTCAACACGAACATTCGTAAAGTTATTACTTACGTTGTGGTGTTCTATCCAGTCGTACCCGTTCTGGTATAATAAAAAGCGACAACAAAAAATAATTAACATCACATGACACATAACCGTTTTCATGACTTTCACAATATTATTAAACATTGTTTCAACACATCAATACTCTCACAAAACTAATAAATGGGGCCATATAGGTTTTAATAATGACTCCCCATTGGATACGACAAACTTTGTTTCAATATAATCATGTTTAACGAACACAACATTATAGATACATAATTCATAGAGCATTACGACTCATTGTAGATGTTATTTTGCTGGGCAAGGTCGGTCCAAAACATTTTATAAGAAAGAACAACTCGCACAAGAAGCATATAATATTACAGTATTTAATGTGCACCAAATAGACCTTTTGCCGTTTTTCACTTCTGAAAAGAGAAAGCTAATTTTTCATTGTCATTGTAGGGAAGACACACATGTGATGACACCAATAAAATTTGGTTTTATTTACAGTACACGAAAAAGTCATGAAATCACTTCAAGCAATGTTATAGGGACATTAGAACTGTAATTGAGCATGTTAGTCTAATCAATGTGTTAATGTCCAACATTATCGTGCTTTCTTGCTGTTGAATATAAAATTAATGCCGTTGTTAAGAGGAATACTAATGAACTTATTCCACATACACCTTATAATTTGGACATCGATCACTGTTGTAAAGATTTGTTGAAGAGTACTACAGCTAACAGGAAAACAAACAAGGGATGACTTACTCCTATCTCCTCCTGAACCCGACGCCATTCTCAGCGTTATCAAAACTAGTCTTTCCTGCAGTAAGTCAGCTCATCTTCTGAAAAAAGGAGAAAATATGATAACGTAGTAATAAAATCATAATCATGGTAATGGATCATTTCATTTTTAGCTATCTGAGGACGGAGTCCCAGAAAGCTAATGCAATCAGACGTGTTTTTTTTGGGTGGTCTCCGAGCTAGGAAACACGAAAGCGGCTACAATATAAAATAATGATATTGTAGTATACTGAGATTGAAGCGTATTTACTTCAGATGTTCAATTGACCATTTTTAGCTGTTGAAATGGATTTGTGTAATTTGAGTGAATTTAATTCGTAGGTGTTCAGAGACCAGTGTTGCTAAATTTAGAGCATACATGCTTTCCACACTCTTTGGACATAAAGTCTGAACCTCCACACATAAATTGATAAGAAACGTTGTTAGCCGACGAGGACATATCAGTTTTACACACGCAGCCAGCAAAACTGTACGTGTTTGTTTTTCAAGTTACGACTTTCAGCAGACAAGTATTGTGGACTGCTAACTCGTCGTAGGTTCGTCAAAATGAGTGGACACACAATGAAATAAATGATGGCATATATATTTACAATCAACTGTCATAAGATGCGAAAGCGTATTTGGACCACGGGACCTGATCATTTGTTACAGCTATATTTGGACCTAAACTAAGGTGTTTGGAGTAATGTTACACGTTTGGGGGGTTTAGAACAGTAAAGATGCCCGCATATTTAAACATATAGATCGATTCATGTGGCATGTAAAAGCCTTGAATTGGTGACAAGATTCCGTACTTTTTTCCCGAACGAATCAAAATTACGATTAGTTGGAGTAATCAACATTTTCGTTTTTAGTGGTTTCTTGATACAGTGGCAATTATAAGTACCAAAATATCAGTTCACAGTTAGATAACGACGTCAAAGAATTGAATTTATTTTAATTCATAAAACATATGTTTTTGTTTGCTATTATCCAGATTTAAACCAGATCGATGTACCAATATCAGTTATATTCTGTACGAAGCATGCATGTTTCAGAGAGCTACATAGCCATTGGCCTCCTGTTAAGTATACTATCAAATACAGATATGAAAGTACCAACATTTGATGAACAGATAAAGACATATTTATAAAATGATGAAGTTTGCAGATCAGTAAAGGATAAAAGAAAGGAAGGTGAACATAAGAGTGAAGACTTTTTGATTATACCTTACACCTTGGTTACACTTTACACCTTTTTGGTTGTTGTGTAGATGTTACATTTGTATAGCAAATGATTAGAGAAAGTATAGGGCCAGTCCCCACAGCAAATACTGGTAGTATATTTGTATCAAAATGTTCAGCTTCGGCAGTGGTATAATGTTGCTCTAGGTTAAGGATCTCAAATGTCCCTATGTTATGAGATAGGAAACAAGTTGTTCAGACCAGAAAAGAGTTCTGGGCCTCCGGGATGGCCAAACCAACGGTTAATACCAATCATATAATGATCGTGTTTGTCTCTTTACACTCAGTAATGGTAGATATAGTTATTAGAATGGGGATATCAAACTGTTTTAAGTTGAAATTCGAGGTCCGAGACATAAAGGGTGTGGCCAGATCTTAGGGTCGATTCTGATATCGTGATTGTGTGTATCTCTTTATGCTTAGCAATCTTACATATAGTTATGAGGTAGGGAGCTCAACAGTTTGAAAGTTTCGTCCTAGGGACTAAGTGGATAATCCCAGACCCTGGCAATTCCATTTGATATATGTGAATGAAAAAGCGTACCAGTACAATATGTTATACACTTTGTATAAATCATGTGAATGTAAAATAACGTACTAGTACAATGTGGTGAACATTTTGTATGATTCCTATGTAAAATAACATCTCAGTACAATTGTGTGAACACTTTGTATAAGTCATGCGAATGTAAAGTAGCGTACGGGTACAATATGGTATACACTTTGTATCATTCTTGTAAATACAAATGATGTACGGGTACATTGTGGTGAACACTTTGTATACTTCATGTGAATGCAAAATGACATCTGCATACAATGTGGTGTGCACTTTTATAATTCATGTGAGTGTAAAATGACGTAATTGTACAGCGTGGTGGACACTTTGTATAATTCCTGTTATTGTTAGATAAGTGTTGGTACAGTGTGGTGAACACTTTTATATGAAACAACTGTATGTTTTATAACTGATCGAAACAATGACTTAAACTTACGCATGATACATGTACCTGTATTATTTTTTGTTAGGATTATGTTAGAATCTGTCGTAATTTTGATTTCTTGTTTTGTCCAATTTTCCCGTAATGATGCTGTGGGCAGTAGGTTTTATTTTCGATTACATTTTATCCAGTGAAATATATTCATTCTATGAAAGTGATATTTTTGACTATCACTTTAGTTGATTTGACCAATCAAAACCAATGATTACAAACTACAATTGTACCACGAGACACATTACAAGTTGCCCATCTGGGACATCAGCCCATTCTGCTGCCTATAATAATCATCTGCTTCTTATTATGAATAAATTATTCTCTGTTGGAGACACAAAGTTTAATTTCACGGTAAGCTTTCATTTTCATAAAAGCCAGCAGACTATGCAGGTTAGCAATTCTAACTATTTGATCGAAGAAAACTCACGCTTTTCGTCAAATGTTGTAGCATCAGTGACAAGCACGTATCCATGAACACCTTATAATTGGGACATCGATCACTGCTGTAAAGATTTATTGTGGTGTTCTACAGTTTACAGCAAAACAAACGAGGAAAACAGGAGAGTACTTACTCTTGTCTCCTCCAGAACCCGAGGCCATTCTCAACGTTATTAAACTCTAGTCTTTCCTGCGGTAAGTCAGCTCATCATCTGGAAAAAACGCAGCAATAAAATCATAATCATGTTAATGAATCATTTCATTTTCATAATGTATACCATTAAATTTAGATATTAGAAAATCAACATTTAATAATCAGAAAAGCCACATGTCAATAGATCGATGTACCAATATCAGATATTATGTACGAAGCATGCATATTTACGAGAGCTACGTGGCCATTGGCCTCTTGCTAAGTATACTATCAAATATAGATATGAAAATACGAACATTTGATGAACAGAATAAAGACAGTTTTTAGAATGATGAAGTATGCAGATCAGTAAAGGATGAAAGAAAGTAAGATGGACATAATATTGAAGACTGATATACGTAATATTTTTGTATACAAATTTTCATCTTCACCTGTGGTAATATGTTGCTCTAGGTAAGGGATCTCAAATGTTCCAAAGTTATGACCCAGGAACTAAGTTGCTAATGCCAGAATAGAACCCTAGCCTTCGGTTTGGTTTGGTTTAATTTTGTTTAACGTCCTATTAACAGCTAAGGTCATTTGAGGACGTGCGTTAATGTGTTTTAGTGTATGCGTGCCTGCGTGTGTGTATGCAGGAGACAGGGTATTTTTTGTGCTTGCCTCCTCGTGATAGCGCGGATCTGATACCCACTTTATAGTGCTATCTCACTGAAATATCATGCCGAAGGCACGCAGCACAGCATTCCGCCCGGTCACATTATACTGACAACGGGTGAACCAGTGGTTGCCATTCCCCTAAATGCTGACCGTTAAGCAGGGAATAACAACTACCATTTTTAAGGACTTTGGTATGTCCCGGCCTGAGTACAGAGCCCATTGCCTTCGCTCAACATTAAACCAAAAGTAAGGTGTTGCCAAGCAAGGCGCTAGGAAATAAAAGGTAGTTAGAAGTAGAAAGAAAGATAAACATCCCAAATATTGCAATGGGTGCAGCAGATTTATTGTGGTCGCGTTTGTGTATAGAGGACACCAAAGCAATTCCCCAATTCTTCAGGGGGCTACAACATTAGTCGCCTCCTACGATAGGGGTGGAGCCCTAGGCCTCCAGGATGGCCAAAACCAACGGTTAATACCAATATCATGATTGTGTTTGTCTCTTTTTACTCAGTTATTGTAGAAATGGTTATAGAATGGGCATGTATCATACTTGTATCAAGTTGTAATCCAAAAGTCTGAGACATAAAGGGTGTGGCCAGATCTTAGGGCGATTCTGATATCGTGATTTTGTGTATCTCTTCATGCATTGCAACCTTATATAAAGTTGTTATGAGATGGGGAGCTCAACAGTTTGAAAGTTTCGACCTAGGGACTAAGTCTTCATAGATAGTGCCAGACCCTGGCAATTCCATATGTAACATAAATGTGTCATGATAGACAAACCTAACCCCATGTGCTCCTGTTAGTCCTTGGATATTTATATGTAAATACAAACATATATTTGTATACAGTAAAATACATATTTTATTGTGTGTAAAATAAGTAATCGAAACAATAAGACTACATGTAACACTTTCGAACGATACCTGTATATGTTTTATTTTTTGTTAGGAATATGTTAGGTTCTGTCGTTTTAGAGAAAACTCATGTTTAATGAAACACTTGTCAGCGTCTTCAAGTCCCAAGTTCGGCTAAATGATTGGCAGAAAGTATAAGAGAAACAGGGTCATATTTGACAGTGATTAAGTATAACTTGCATACATTTTTTAGGTGGTGTGTATATCTTATCATCAGATTATATAAGCATTGACAAAAATAACTCGGCACCCCCACCATTTTAGATTCGGCGCTTATCAAGACGGGTCTTTTTCTTAATAATAAAATCATGTTAGTAATTTGGCATACTTTATTAAAAGTATGAACTGAGGTGCCTTTTTTATCAAATAAGTAACTAAAGGCTTTTAATTATGAGTTTTTACATTCTATTAAGAGTTTTGCAATGAGGACTATATTTTGTCGCGTAAGGTTGTCTAGACATGCTAGTGGTAACAGTATTCAGACCAAGGATTGTCAGCTTGATGGGGTAGGTTTTTCGTAAAAATGTAAAAAAAATAAAAATATCTAACAGTTTCTTCAGTAGTACCAAAAACATTAGCCACACTCGTGAAATATATTTTGTATTACTGCAGAGACTGTTCGATATCCTCTATAAATTAAAAAAAATGTCTGTTTAAAAGAATATGGAAATCAATGTGATCAACACTCCCTAAGTTCAAAATTCAGCCTATACCTTCCCATTTTGGGGAACGGAATTCGACGGGGATTCCCCTATACAATATATCACTAGGTGTGCTCTATCGTATTATGTTTCAAACTGGCGAGAAATGAGGTCAATGTCACACTGTTTTCTACATTATTTACATTATTAATGTCGTTTAATCTTTATCATAGCCTGCATAAAATATGTTGTTTTTTCGTGTCTATCATACATGCTGTTCTCATAATTCGTTGTACGCAAGACAGATGTATGTGCTGTATCATTGTAAACTACACCCACTGGCTCAGGTTTTTTTAATATTTTTGTATCCTCTTGTTTACTATTCCCGGCAATAAAACATATTTGTTGTTTCACCTGTCCTGTTTGTATTATATCATTGTTTACTACACCTTTTAATTTCAGTTAATCCATAACTGTTGTTATCTATTCTAGTTCATATCAAAGTATACCATGTTAGTTACTTCGTATCCTACTTCCTGTTTGGGTTCAACATAGTTGTTCACAAAAAGAGTATCAGTGCATAGCCTATGTGGTTTATCGAACAACAAAACATAAATTAATAGATGTAAACGATATGTATACGCATTGAAAATGGCATTATTTACACACACAAATATACAGTATCTGTTAAAAGGTACATTCTAAGTGGTATATACCTGTGAGTATGTACCTGTACATCCAGTTGTTTACTGGTTACTACACAGTCACAATACAACATAGCCAGTCATATGTAATATAATTGGACAATAGTTACTGCTAACGAAACTCCTCTACTGAAGACAGTTAATTTAAAAGTTAGCATGTCAATACACATAAAGTATCAAGTGTAGCAACATTCGAAATATTGACGATATAACTTACCTTAGCTTTCTTGTACAATTAAGGTGCAATTTCCTTCCTTTTGTTGAATCACTGTTTAGGAGATCGTATGCGTCAAAACTGACAAGTCGGTTATGTACAATACCCTGGGGTACGATGTGGTTGTAAATTGTATCCAAATAGACGTGTTTTCATTTTAGGATATTCGTGTACGTATAATGGGCTTCGACTTCACTGCAGTCTGATCTTTTATATGATACATATAAATGTAAGATAACGTACGGGTTCGATGTAGTTTTAAATCCTACAGTGTACATGTATAACATATGGCGTAATGATCTGTGTATGATTTCGGTGTATGTACAATGACGTACGGGTACAACTATGGGCGAATGTTCTTGCGTGAGCTTCATATGTAACATGTACACGTAAAAGAAACCCCAGTCAAAATCGACCAGGAAATCCCATAGACCTAGCAAATCAATTCACTTGCGTAATTTGGGAAATCGCGCGTGCACAAATCCGTTTATGGAAAAAGACGCCATTTTGGATCGATCGGATGAAGAATAATGAAATAAAATTAATCTATTTTAAAACTGAAACATACGGTGTCAGACAATGTTTTTTTGTTTTTGTTTTTAATCTTAACGATTTCTATAACATAACGCCGATTTTCACCAAACCCAGCACACACAGACAAAATCTGCGTACAACGCATCAGTCATTATCACGCCATAATCGCTATTGTCCGCGTATATATTTTATACTGATGATAAGCGATGTGTTTTAGTAAGACGGTACATGTTATAAAGAATATATGTCAGGCATATTTGTTTTGAGATTCTGCTGTAGGCTACAAGATGCGTATAGGTTACCTATGAAATACATGTAGATTCTTTTACACAGTCAAATAGAAAAAAATCATAATAACTTTTTAATCAATTTCAGTATGAGATTAGGTTGTAAAAACAACACCACCATTATCAGAGAAAAGTATCATTGCAGATAACGGACAACTTGGTAAAAAAACTTCATTTACCAAATACATTATTCACTTGCATGCATATCCTTTTAACTCCTGGCGAAGAGGTTGTAAATATCAAAATGTCATCTCAACAATCGACTCAAATAATGGAAATTGCTCATTGCAATTTACATATGGTGATGATGTCATTTTGTATTAACTCGTCAATGTACTTTGCGTCAGTTAAAGTTTTGGCTAAATTAGGGACCCGTTTTTTTCAGAAAATACCAATATTCGATAACACTAGATAATGGAACCATAATACAAGTGTCTGTGTAATGCTCTGTACAAGATACATATGTATGTGTATCTAGTCATCGTAAAGGAGGTCTACATTTTACATTAAATTTCCTGAACGTAAATATCCAATTTCTGCATTTTTGATTTTTTAATTTTTGATTCTGCAACTTGCTTTATTATGTTGTCATTTAATGATTAAGAATAAAAATGAAAAAGGCTCCTCGTGGAAAGATCTGGTGGTGTAGCGGAACTTAACTGGGTCGATCGTCGGCGACTGGACAGCTCAATTGGTAGAGCGTCCGTCTAGAGTTCGGAGGGTCCCGGGTTCGCATTCCGGTCTGGCCGTGCATTTTCCCTCTCCTGTTACAGTACTTGTGGTGCCTGTGACAAACCCTTGTTTCAAGCATTTGGTGTATGCTTGACAAGGGGATACCCGCACCTGGGTTGTAAATAGTTCTTTCTTCGGGGGTGAAGACTTCGAAAGAGGAGGGAGGAATGTAGCAGAACTGGACTGGGTCGATCGTCGGCGACACGATAGCTCAATTGGTAGAGCGTCCGTCTAGAGTTCGGATGGTTCCGGGATCCCGTTGTTTGCCTCTAGGTAGCACCTATTTCATATTATCTTTAGTTGTATTTTATATATCTGTATGTACAATGACGTACAGGTACAAATCTTATATGCAGTTGGATATATATTATGTATGTGTTTGTAAAATGATGTACGGTTATTCATTTTATATACAGTTGTATATTACATCGGTGTATGTATAATGGATAATGGCGTACGGATACTTTATCCTAGATTGTGTACACTTTGTGTAATTTCTGAGAATATAAACCGACGAATAAGTACAGTATGGTGTACACTTTTTATGATTCGTGTGAATGTAAATGACGTACGCGTACAATGTGGTGTACACGTTGCATTATTCTTATGAATGTAAATGACGTACGCGTACAATGTGGTGTACACGTTAAATGATTCATGTGAGTGTACACTGGTGTACGGGTTCAATGTAGAATACACTTTGTATGATTCTTTTGAATGAAAAATAACGTACGGGGTACAGTGTGGTGTATGCTGGTATTAATGAAACAACTGTGTATGTATAATAATTGTTCGACACAACATGACCTACATGTACACCTACGCGTGATTCATGTGTATGTATAATCGTATGTTAAGATAGCATGTATGGTTCCCATTAAAACATGTAATTTTATTTTATTTTATTTCTTTATTGCTAAATTACAGTGAAGGCACCGCTTCAGGTAAATATTCTCGATCATGAACTCAATGTATTTTTCTTTTTTCTTTAAGCAACAACAACATTTCATTTATTGGCTGATTAGCCTTTTTGCACGGAGATATGTTATCAAACCAAAAGAAATCAAAGTGTATAAAATGAATAGTTTAACTTTTGTTCTTCAATTTTCCCCAAAGATGCCTATTAGTTGTGAATACTTCGATGTAAACTGATCAATGTATATTTACGAATACCAATCTATTAATTAGGTTTTAAATGCATATTTTTAACATTGATGAGGGTATGCAACACAGTTCCGTTCAAACATATTCCATGATGCGCGATCATAAACTCAATGTGTTTTTCATTTTTCTTTGTTTGAACCACGGGCTTAGATAATCTAATTCCGGAAATGTGTTGCATACCCTCATAAATGTTAAAAAGATGCATTTCAAACCTTATATTTACATTCTATTACATTCAATTTTATTATTTGAAATTGAGGAAAAATTGTTTTTTTTCACGTAAAAAAGCAATACACCGACATGAAAACAACATTACTTGAACAGCCTTTTTCGCGGGAAAGATGATGCGTTGTCAATGGTGACGAAATACACAGTTGAGCAATAAACAAATAGGCCTAGTTCCACTTTGCATATTTTCGATCATTTGATTTACATACAAGCATGTTTAAAAAGCATTAATTATCTATAAAATGTACAGTAGAACTTAATTTGGAACAAAAACAAAGCTGTAAAATATTTCAGTTACAAAAAGTCAGAAATTTATTCCGTGTTCGCGCAGGTAGCTGACCATTAAACCACGGTTGTGCAGAGGCTAAGATTTAAACGAGATTGGTATGGAAATTGAAAATGCATCCGTGAAATGTGAGGTTTCCTCGGAAACTAGATTGCGATTTAAAAGATGCTGTTGACTGAATTCTTGTGTCGACCGACGGTGACAACAGGACCATTGTTGGTGCATATCTGCAGGTGTTACTGTCGCTTAGGGGACTAGCCGCTTTCGTTGATCGCGATCCAAACAGTTGAACTCGTTGGACCAGAGCTGTTCGTTTATGTAATAAAGTCGGACCTAGTAAATCTGATGGTATTTTCAGGCGAGCCTTGATAAAGCCTAACAAGGCCTGCATGAACATTTGCAGGTTCGCCAAGATTTATACCCGAAAATGTTACATTTAACAAGAGGCCTAATGGTCCTGCAACGCTCACCTGGTATTAATCTCACACTTTTAATCTTAGAAGTGGACTAAAATACAGCTACAGGCAGAATATCAGTGTTTGATTCATAAGAGCCTATTATAAGATTTAAACAATGACACATGTGACCTTGAATGTCGAACAAGGACATTAGGTTGAAAGAGGGGCCATGGTCATTCATTTGAACAAATTTGGTAGACCTTTATCCCAGCATGCTACAGGCCCAATATCAGTACCTTGTGCCTTTTGGTTATTGAGAAGAAGTCGTTTGAAGATTTTAACATATTTGAGCCCTGTGACCTTGAAAATGAGTCAATGTCATTCATTTGAACAAACTTGGTAGTCCTTCATCCCAGCATGCTACAGGCCCAATATCAGTAACGTGGGCCTTTTGGTTATTGAGAAGAAGTCGTTTTAAGATTTTAAGACATTTGACCCATGGGAGCTTGAACGATAGTCAAGGTCATTCATTTGAACAAACTTGATAGCCCTTCATGTCAGCATGCTACAGGCCCAATATCAGTACCCTGGGCCTTTTGGTTATTGAGAAAAAGTCGTTTGAAGATTTTAACATATTTGACCCCTGTGACCTTGAAAGTGGGTCAATGTCATCCATTCGAACAAACTTGGTAGTCCTTCTGCCCAGCATGCTACTGGCCCAGTTTCAGTACCCTGGGCCTTTTGGTTATCGAGAAGAAGTCGTTTGAAGATTTTAACATATTTGTCCCATGTGACCTTGAAAGTATGTCAATGGCATCCATTTGAACAAACTTGGTAGTCCTTCTACCCAGCATGCTACTGGCCCAGTTTCAGAACCCTGGGCCTTTTGGTTATTGAGAAGAAGTCGTTTGAAGATTTTAACATATTTGCCCCCTGTGACCTTGAAAGTATGTCAATGGCATCCATTTGAACAAACTTGGTAGTCCTTCTGCCCAGCATGCTACTGGCCCAGTTTCAGTACCCTGGGCCTTTTGGTTATTGAGGAGAAGTCGTTTAAATTAAAAAGTTGACGACGGACGGACAAAAGCAGACAAATAGGTTGTTCCATATAAACGAACAGGCCCTTCGCCACTTGCAACGGACGCTAGCTAGAGGACAGCTAATGTTCCTGTTCTATTGAAATGGACCTGTTGTGGGATCCTCACCACCTAAGGATGCTTCCAACACATATGGCTGATATCATTCTTAGTTTCATAAAAGAGGTCGCTGAAAGCAATATGGACAATTTAGCCCTTTTTGGCCCCGCCCCTTAGTCCCCTGGGTGTCGGGTCCTTAATTTGTACAATTTTGAATCCCATCATCCTGATGATGCTTTCAACCTAACACATGTATGGTTGATGGTTGATATTTTTGTTTAGTTTCTGTGAAGAAGTCGCTTAAAGCAATATGGCCAAATTACCTCTTTTGGCCCCGCCCTTCAGCCCTCTAGGGGGTTAGACCATCCATTTGTACAATTTTCAATCCCGTCCACCTAGGGATCTTTGGTTGAATTCCAATCAGCGGTTATTAACTACGGAGAAGTTGTTTGAAAAAATATTCTTTTTAAGCAACCTCGCAAATATCTTGGTCGCAATGGGAAGTGGGTAGGATCCTAAAAGGCAAAAGCAACTTAAATT